TTTTCTCTCCTTCATTCTAGCCTCCACTTTCTCTCCTTCCCTTATTCCCATTTTTTTTCCTTTTCTTATTTCTGTCCTTCTTTCCTCCTGCCTCCTTCATTTCTTCCTTCACTTTTTTTCTTGTGTCCCTTTTTGTCCTTCTTTTTCTGTCCCTTTTTTCTTTCCTTTCTTTCTTTCTCATCTCCTTTCCCTTTCCTACCGTAATTCTTTTTCCCTCCGTCTTCTTTTTTTCTTTCTTTCTTATCTACTTTCCCTTCCCTACCGTAATTTTTCCCCTCCCTCCCTCTTCTTTCTCTTGCTTTCTTTTTCTTTCTTTCTCGTCTCCTTTCCCTTCTCTACCGTAATTCTTTTTTTTCCTTCCCTTTTCTTTTTTTTCTTTCTTTCTCATCTCCTTTTCCTTCCCTACCGTAATTTTTCCCCCTCCTTCCCTCTTTTCTTTCTTTCTTTTTCTTTCTCATATCCTTTCCCTTCCCTACCATAATTTTTTTCCTCCTTTCTTCTTTCTTTCTTTTTCTTCCTTCCTTCCTTTCTATCTATCTATCTATTACCTATCTATCTATCATCTATCTATCATATCCTTTCCCTTCCATAATTTTTTCCCTCCTTCCCTTTCTTTCTTTTCCTTCCTTCCTTCCTTCCATCCACCCATCCATCTATCAATCATATCCCCTCCCTTCCCTACCATAATTTTTCCCTCCTTCCCTCTTCTCTTTCTTTTTTCTTTTCCTTCCTTCCTTCCTTCCTATCTATCTATCATCTATCTATCTATCATCTATCTATCTATCTATCTATCTATCTATCTATCTATCTATCTATCTATCTATCTATCTATCTATCATCTCCTTTCTCTCCCCTACCGTAATTATTTTCCTTTTTTCTCTTTTTTTCTAAAGGGTTTTCACCCAACTTCACCAAGGTTTCCAAGAAATCCAAACGGACCCAACGCCCATTAGGTTTTCAAGTCGATCATTTATTAATTTTAAGCATGCACGTCTCCAAAACATCATCATTGGTTTTTTTTAAGCGCGATGTACCACAAAGATTTGGTTTCCAGGATTACGAAGTAAGTGTACAAGTTGTGCGGTCAGCTTCCGGAAGACCCAAAGACCTTCGTCGACGGCTTATCCCGAGGACGGTCCCCAAAAAAACCCCCCTCCACCTCGTTCTCAGAAATCCGGACGGTCTTTCTTCAACTTGCTGTAGTCCATATTAATGGCGAAAAACTAGGGGGGGAAAACCGGGAATTATTCGGATGGAAGCCCTGCTTGTCCCAAAATATCAAAAATAAAAATATGAAAACGGATGCGAAAAAAATTAGGGATTTTACGCTTGACGGACGACGACTTTGCATGCCAAAGAAGGATTTACTAGGGCTTTACTAAGTGGCCTTGCCACTCTGCTACCCAGTACCATAAACCCTGCTGTCAATCAACCCACCACCCCTCGTATCTAGACAGACAGAACTTTGCTACAGGCTGAAAAATTCTAGTCCCGCCTTAGGCATGAAAGCCAGCTGGGTGACTTTGGGCCAATCACTAGGAGACGGGGAGTTCTAGTCCCGCCTTAGGCATGAAAGCCGGCTGGCTGACTTTGGGCCAATCACCAGGAGAGGGCGAGTTCTAGTCCCGCCTTAGGCAGGAAAGCCAGCTGGGTAAGTTTGGGCCAATCACCAGGAGACGGTGAGTTCTAGTCCCACCTTATGAAATAAAGCCAGCTGGGTGACTTTGGGCCAATCACCAGAAGAGGATGAGTTCTAGTCCCGCCTTAGGCGTGAAAGCCAGCTGGATGACGTTGGGCCAATCACCAGGAGAGGGTGAATTCTAGTCCCGCCTTAGGCAGGAAAGTCAGCTGATGAATTTGGGCCAATCACCAGGAGCCCTTTAGGTCCCACCTTGTGACTTTGGGCTAATTGCTAGGAGAGGGTGAAGCCATGCACTTCCGCTCCCAGAATCCCCCAGCCGGCATGATTTAAGAGGGGAGGACTTCCACTCCCAGAATCCCCCAACCGGCATGCTTTAAGAGGGGAGGACTTCAACTCCCATAATCCCCCAGTCGCCATGCTTTAAGAGGGGGGGGACTTCCACTCCCAGAATCCCCCAGCCGGCATGCTTTAAGAGGGGAGGACTTCCACTCCCAGAATCCCCCAGCTGGCATGCTTTAAGAGGGGGGGACTTCCACTCCCAGAATCCCCCAGCCGGCATGCTTTAAGAGTGGAGAACTTCAACTCCCAGAATCCCCCAACCGGCCTGCTTTAAGAGGGGGGAACTTCCACTCCCAGAATCCCCCAGCCGGCCTGCTATAAGAGGGGAGGACTTCCACTCCCAGAATCCCCCAGCCAGCCATGCTTTAAGGGGGGGGGGACTTCAAGAAATGTCTCCATCAGAGGGAGAAGATGGAAAAGGATGGACCTTAGAATTTAATCCGCTTTGATCTTCTTAGTTTGCTTTTCCTTATCCTGGCTGGATCCTAAAGCTAGTTTTAATCCAGCCCTTTAATCCGTATCCGTATCGGTGAAATTGAAAATAAAACAATTTGGGGGGGGGGGGGAGAGGCTGGAGCCCCTTAAAATAACAGAAGAACAACAGAATTACGGAGTTGAAAGGGATCTTGGAGGTCATCTAGTCTAACCCGGTCGTCAGGCCAGAGACCCTTACAAAATCATAGAATAATAGAGCTGGAAGGGACCTTGGAGGTCATCTAGTCCAAACCCCCTGCTCAAGCAGGAGACTGTTACAGAATCGTAGAATAAGAAGAGTTGGAAGGGACCCTGGAGGTCATCTAGTCCAACCCCTTGCTCAAGCAGGAGACTGTTACAGAATCGTAGAATAACAAGAGTTGGGAGGGACCCTGGAGGTCATCTAGTCCAACCCCTTGCTCAAGCAGGAGAGTGTTACAGAATCATAGAATAACAAGAGTTGGAAGGGACCCTGGAGGTCATCTAGTCCAACCCCTTGCTCAAGTAGGAGACTGTTACACAATCATAGAATAACAAGAGTTGGAAGGGACCCTGGCGGTCATCTAGTCCAACCCGGTTGTCAGGCAGGAGACCCTTAGAGAATCATAGAATAACAGGGTTGGAGGGGACCTTAGAGGTCATCTAGCCCCTGCTCAAGCAGGAGACCCTTAGAACAGAGTTGGAAGGGACCTCGGAGGTCATCTAGCCCAACCCCCTGCTCAAGCAGAGACCCTTGTGGAATAACAAGAGTTGGAAGGGGCCTCGGAGGTCATCTAGCCCAACCCCCCTGCTCAAGCAGGAGAGCCTTACAGAATCATAGAGTAACAGGGCTGGAAGGCACCTCGGAGGTCATCTAGCCCAACCCCCCATGCTCAAGCAGGAGAGCCTTAGAGATTCATAGAGTAACAGGGCTGGAAGGGACCTCGGAGGCCATCTAGTCCAACCAACCCCCTGCTCCGCGCTCCCAATTTGTTCGATATTTAAACGCCCCCACCTTGTAACGGTGAGTGGGATCGAGGTTGTTCCACGGTTCCGGGTTATTCTTCTTGTCCCATCTACGAGAGAAAAGGGAATCAAAGATTGACGTATCAGGGCCGGCTAGGCCGGCAGTCCTCGCTTTATGACCGGTTGCTTAGCTAGCACGATTCAAAGTGACGACGGGCCTTGGCAAAGCGACGCGCGACCCATTTGTGTCGCTCAGCGAGACGTTTTTATGAAGGGACTTTTGCCCCTCTTTACGACCGGCCCAGCTCATTTATTACAGGGCAAACGGTTAAGTAATACGGTCGTAAAGTCAACCCAGCTTCCCCACTGACTGGTCAGTTAGTCACAAAAGGGGATCAGTCATAAATATGAGTCAGGGGCCAAAGCCTCTGAATTTGGATCACGACGTTGCGACGGTCGTTAAGGACGAAAAACAATCCTAGGTCCCTTTTTTTTTTCCAGTGCTGTTAGAAGTTCGAACGGTCCCTAAAGGGACCGTCGTAAGCTGAGGACTTCCTTGTATGAAATCGAACCGTGGTTAAAAAGCTGGCTGGTCCTTTGACACTGTTTTTTTGGGCTGGTTTATTTTTTTTAATTTTTTTTGGGCAAGAGGCAAAAATGAGCGAATCGGCTCATTTCCGCAAACCCCGAATGGTGGCTTGTGAAATGAACCAGGTTTAATGTCAGATACATACCTTACTTCCGGACAGAAAAAAGCCAGGCGCATCAGGTAGAGTCCCGCCCCGGCCACTGCAGTCCCCATAATGAAGAAAAGCGGCATCAACTACGAGGAAAAAAAAAGAGAGAAAAGTCAGATTAAAAAGACATCCGGGCCGTCCTCCCTTTACGACGCTTCGTTTAGTGACCGCCGGGAGTCGCGACGGCTCGTGGGGGAAAAAAAACGACGACTTAGCCATCGTTTCTGATTTTCGCGACGGCTATCAAAGCGGCGACCGACGGTCCTTTTTGACACTTTTCACACTTACGACGTCTTTACGACTCGTCTTTACGACGGGTCGCGGTGATCCCGCCTGCCCGGGGCCAAGCCGACAGGGGATGCCAGATTCGTTTAGCGACCGCCTACGATGGCAAGGGATTCGCTGAACGACGGCGGCCCGTGAGTCCGTCCACTCGTGGAAGTGACTCACTTAGCGACGGAAAAGTTGGGCTCAGCTGTGGTCGTAAAGCCGAGGACTTGCCTGTATTTTGTTACCGGATGGGAAAGATATTAAGGGTGTGATTAAAGACCCCCCCCCACAAGTAGGTGGAGCAAGCGCTGGGGATGATGGGAGTTGGAGTTCAGGCGCAGGGAAGGGTCGGCTGGGGACTATGGGAGCTGGAGTATAGGTGCATAAAAGATCCCGGGCAGTAAAGGGGGGGTTGTCAACCAGGGATGATGGGGACTGAAGTCCAGGCGTACAAAAGACCCCTTAGGGAGGGTAGAGCTGGCTGGGGACAATGGGAGCTGGAGTCCTGGCATACAAATGACCCTTAGGGTGGGCTGCACTGGCTGGGGATCATGGGAGCTGCAGTCCTGGCATACAAATGACCCCTAGAGAGGGCAGAGCTGGCTGGGGACGATGGGAGCTGGAGTCCTGGCATACAAATGATCATTAGGGTGGGAAGCACTGGTCAGGGATTATGGGAGATGGAGTCCAGGCATACAAATGACCAATTAGGGTGGGCTGTACTGGCCGGGGACGATGGGAGCAGGAGTCCAGGCATACAAATGACCATTAAGGTGGGCTGCACTGGCCGGGCATCATGGGAGCTGCAGTCCTGGCATACAAATGACCCCTAGGATGCGTAGAACTGAGTGGGGACGATGGGGGCTGGAAACCAGGGACATAAAAGACCGTGAAGGAGGGCAGCGCCGGCCGTGGACGATGGGAGCTGAGGTCCAGGCATACAAACGACCACTAGGGTGGGCTGCACTGGCCAGGGAGTATGGGGGCCGGTATCCAGGCATACAAATGGCCTCTCGGGTGGACTGCATACATAGGGGGATTATGGGAGATGCAGTCCAGGCTGAATTGTGTGGGCTGAGGACTATGGGACTATGGGAACTGGAATCCAGGCATATAAAAGACCTTGGGGCGGGGACAGTGCTACCTGAGGATTATGGGAGCTGCAGTCCTGCCCTACAAATGACCCCTAGGGAGGGTAGAGCTGGGGACGATGGGAGCTGGAGTCCAGGCATAGAAATGACCCCTCGGGAGGGTAGAGCTGGGGACGATGGGAGCTGGAGTCCAGGCATACAAATGACCCCTAGGGAGGGAAGAGCTGGGGACGATGGGAGCTGGAGTCCAGGCATACCAATGACCGTTAGGGTGGGCTGCACCGGCCGGGGATCATGGGAGCTGCAGTCCAGGCATACAAATGACTCCTCGGGAGGGTAGAGCTGGGGACGATGGGAGCTGGAGTCCAGGCATACCAATGACCATTAGGGTGGCCTGCCTCCATAAGGGAGATTATAGGAGATGCAGTCCAGGCTGAATTGTGTGGGCTGAGGACTATGGGAACTGGAGTCCAGGCCTACAAATGACCCCTAGGGAGGGTAGAGCTGGGGATGATGGGAACTGGAGTCCAGGCCTACAAATGACCCCTAGGGAGGGTAGAGCTGGGGATGATGGGAACTGGAGTCCAGGCCTACAAATGACCCCTAGGGAGGATAGAGCTGGGGACGATGGGAGCTGGAGTCCAGGCATACAAATGACCCCTAGGGAGGGCAGAGCTGGGGACGATGGGAGCTGGAGTCCAGGCATACCAATGACCATTAGGGTGGACTGCCTCCATAGGGAGATTATGGGAGATGCAGTCCAGGCTGAATTGTGTGGGCTGAGAACTATGGGAAGGCATAAAAGACCCTTGAGGGGGACAGCGCCAGCCGGGGATGATGGGTCCAGGCATGCAACGACTCCTAGGTTGGGCTGCACTGGCAAGGGGATTATGGGCGACGGAGTCCAAGCATTCAAATGTCCCCACCCCAGGGTGGGCTGCAATGGCCCTGGACTATGGGAGCTGGAGTCCAGGCATGCAAATGACCCCTGGGGTGGGCTGGGAACGATGGGGCCGGGAGTCCCGGAGAGCCACTCACGCTGGGCCGATGCTTGATTTGGTGGCGGAGGAAGCCAATCAAGCCCGGGTTGGCAGCGGCCGGAGGGACGCGGGGCTGTTGCTGCTGCTGCGACATGGCGGCCAAATCAATGTCACGTCAGGACCCCGCCAGGACCCGCCTCAGCCACGCAGGCACTCCAGTAGCCACCTCTGCGGAGGACCAGGCTGCGCAGCAGGCAGCTCTGCGCCTGCGCGACCGCTCACCCCCCTCCAGTTTGCCCGAGTGCGCCTGCGCCGCGCTCCACTTGACCGCGTCCCCAACTCTACTTAATCGGAAGCCTTAGCACCACAAAGAGCCTTCTCCTAGCGCGGCATCCTTTTCCTCTTCCCCAACCGGAAGCTCCCTTTCAATAAGACTATTGAATACTCTATTCCATAGAGGAACCGACCGGAAAACCGCCCCTTCCCCTCCTCTTTCCTCCGGAGCGGAAATCCGCCCCCTTCCTCCCTAGAGAGAAGTCTGAGGAATTTCTGGGAGTTGAAGTCCATCCAGTCATAAAAGGGCCCCTTGGGAAAGCGGGAAAGTCCCGCCGTAGAGTCGCTTCCTAGCGCGTCTTTCCAAACCGGAAGTCCATCCCTTGCAACCGGAAACCCACCCCTTCTCCGCCCTTCCGCCTCCCTAGAGGGTCCATTCCTCCTAGAGAGGCCGTCGCGCTCTCCTCCTCTTTCCTCCGGAGCGGAAATCCGCCCCCTTCCTCCCTAGAGAGAAGGCTGAGGATTTCTGGGAGTCGAAGTCCACCAGTCATAAAAGGGCCCCTTGGGAAAGCGGGAAAGTCCCGCCGTAGAGTCGCTTCCTAGCGCGTCTTTCCCAACCGGAAGTCCATCCCTTGCAA